AAAATTATCATTCAAATTCTTAAGTCCACATTGGGTGAGTAATGATTAATCCTCTTACTGAAATTATTCAGTGTGAACTCTAAAATCCCTTCAGATGTTACATACACTCATACACAGGAAGCTTTATTTATATAGCACCAAATCTCAAGACTCTCAATTTGCCTCAGTGACCCTAAAATAATGAAGGAACAACCCTGAAACATCTCCCCATCACTCCCACCAACCCCCATCTCTCTCATAATCATGCTTTGTGACACACACACACACACACACACACACACACACACACACACATACACAGAAATTACACTTCCTTGCCATTGCTAAATGTTCCCATAAATTCACATTTTTAAAGTGTCACATATCACTCTTATAGTGTCCCTGCTATTACTCAGCACCTAACCAGTCACCATGAATATCACAGTCTTGCCTGCACCAACATAGTAATTCACTGCAAACCTGCACATTAACCTGGACTTAGTGTCCAGTATAAACTCTAACAAACATGAAATTACGATCATTACACTTAACCACTCCCTAAGGGTCAATTTTCTCTTTTTTATAATGATTCATTTTTCACTTCTTTGTCACTTGACCCCAAATGAGTGACCGTGACCTACTTTTTAAGGTCACAGCTGCATGTAAGTGTGAAAGCTTTTCTGGGTATACTGTAACGTGTAAACTATAACAGATGCAGCTGATTATATTATGTCAGGACTCATAAAGGAATAACCCTTAGAAGCCTAAGCACAGCCCCATCCAGTGTGACAGGTACCCATTCAGGATAATCGGTGTTCGCGTTTCCCAATAAACCACAGAAGTAATTTTAAAGATCTCGATAGGATTCAATGGTGTGCGGGACCCTTCTTTTTGTTCGTATACTGACAGACATAAAATGCACAATATTTAGTGATTATCTACATACCACACAACACAAACAGCAGATGACCAGTATGGTCAAAGGAAGGCAGACACCAATATTGATCCACATCATCACATGGATGGGCCCCATCTCTATCTGCCATTCAGGGATGGAGCTCTGGTAAAAGATGCACTGTTCACCTTTTCTTCAAAGAAAGACCTGTCGGTGGAAAAGGGAGATTTCATGTAGTTACAGTGATGAAAAAATTCAATAAAAAGTACATGTAGAAAACTGGTAACAAATAATATAGACGGCTGTGTTATTATATTGTATTCATCAGGTTCATACACATATTTACTGCTACTTTGAAGCAAATATGTGAAAATAAAACAGTATTCTGTCATCAGGTCTCTGTCAAGTAATATGATCTTAAACAAGTGCAGTTAGTGCATTACCAGT